CATTACACCATGCGGGCCTTCCTTGGCATCTCCTGCTAAAATGATCTCAAGTAGTAAAGCTGGGAAAAGATCTCTGCCTTAGACCATGTAGACCCACTGCTACTGAGGAGGACAGATAAAGCTGGACTAGATTCAATACAAAGTTGTCTTATAATGTGTTCAGATATGGAACTGTTCATCTGTGCCACAGAAGAAACTGGTATCTAAATCCTGTTGCCTGTCCTGACTAGTGCAGACCCAATGAATCAGTGGGAGTTACCTATGTGTTGACTCACCATTCAGATATTGATTGAATGGGTCTACTCTAGCTGGGACTAACCAACAGGATGCCAGACCAGGTGTGCTCTATGTATTCCCATTTAGGGCAAATATTCCATGTGCATGTTTAATGCATGTAAAAACACAACTGAAATTAATACAACGGCTATTGAGAAAGCGGTAATTCCTGCCATCCTGCAATACCATTTTTGTAGCCACAATCTATGCTTGTCTGTTTTGAGAGTGTCTGGCAGGAAAAATGGAAAGAGCAATACATGCCATGGGAAGAATCAACAGCCAAACCTGGGAACACTTGTTGCCTGCTTCTGAGGTTTTAAAAGTTCATCTTCTAAGAGTACAGTTCAGCAGGAGACTTTCGCGGTCCCATAGTCTCTGAACTCTATTCCAGACAGGTTTTATCCAGGCTGCAAAATACTTGTCTGAGTTCCAAATGGCAGGATTAAGCTATGGTTTAAAATTAAATCTAAATCACAAAAAAGTATTCAAAAATGTTAATTAAAAGTATTACATTTCTGAATAATTTATAGCTTAACAAGGGTTTTTAAGAACTTTAGCCCAAGGGAGGGGAGAGGAGTCCATTCACATTTCTTTCTTTTGTTGACCCAGCAATTGTGAAATGTCCTAGGTGTACATTTGCAAGCTAATGTAGTGCCAAAGCAAAGCTTTTGGCTTCAGAGAAGTAATATTTTACAATAAGCCATGGTCCTTGTAGGCGGAAAGCAATTCCTTAGATGCCAGGAGTTAATCAGCCTCTGTTCCTGCTGCAGAAGACTTTCCAATTACATAAGAAGGTGATTGCTTTAGATTGCCGCATTCACAGTCTTTGTCATAGGAATGTATTATTCTTTCGTCTCCACATTTTAAGATGTTGCCAAGCAAGAGGTAAACTAGGAAAGGAATATGTTTTCAGATTCCTCTGAAAATATCATCTCCAGAGGTTTGTGTGCAGATGGACTACTGCTTAATATTTTATTTCTGCTTTGCTTGCTTGGCCAGTGAAATCAAGCCATAAAGCACACTTAGCTAGTTTCAGTGGGATGTATTGTATTCTATGTTGTTTCTCAACCAATTTTTTTTCAAAGGCTAGCCCTAAAAATACCACACAGAACTAATGTATAACAGCAGTGCTGTCTTCTCCCAGGATAGAAATAGCATTTGTTTTCTCTTTCACATTTAATTTTTATAGTTTTCATGCTGGAGTAGTTTGGTATGCTGAATTCTGGAAGTGTCTCAAGCCAGAATGCTAGTGTATGAACCTGCTGTACTGAGTCGCTTTTGTCTCCCCTTACCAGAGTACTGCTTGCCAATTTTTACAGCTATAGCAGATTTTTACTATTCAAAAAACAGAACCAGATGGAATGCTAGTTCAAAGAACATGTCAGAATTAAATATTTCTTTTTTAATTAGTCGCTTCTGATTTATGCAAAAACCAAAAATTAGCATAAGAGTAGGAGAATGTGCCATGAATCCAGATGTGACACAGCCCACACATGCATTCTCTTTTCCCTGTCAAAAAGATAGGCCATTTCTCTTATAACTTTGGGAGGTAACAGGGTTTAGGAATGTACCAGTGACAAGTGTCAAAAGCCCTTTTTCTAGTTCATCTACAGTGAAATTTTCAGTTACAAAAACACTTTCATTGGAAATAAGTCTTCCTTTTGCTGTTATCTATCATTCCCGTTCTAGTGCAGAGAGTGTTCTAGTGCTTCACAACAACCCAATGAGGTAGACCACTATTATTTTCATATTTCAGAAAGGGACTTATGGGTGAGCAGAAATGAATTGACCAAAGCAACATACCAGTAGCTGTTTCATATGCTAGTGGATTTTTTTTACAGAGATAGACATAATCATGTCATACATGGAAGGTTCACATACAGATATTTTGTGTGTGCATTGTAGGGAGGAAAATGAAATACGTAGCCAGATTAATCCACTGACAGTAAGAAAAATCACATGTCACATTTCATACAGTACATATGCATTTTCCCCTTCACTGAAAGATAATTTTCCTGTTTAAAAATAAGACAATGACAAAGGTACAATACGAAGTGGACCATCAGTTCTGGTCTGAGTGAGCATTTGTTTTCCTTTTCTGGAAGAAAAACTAGACTCAAGCACAGTAAGAAATATATCCAGCAAGTTGCAGTACAAGAAAAGTACAGATTGGCTATGTGTGAGTTCACTAAAGGCACTCATAAAGTCCCATTTAGGATAGCTTTTCACTGACTAACAAAGTGCTGAGAGAAAGTACTAATGCAGTAGTGAGAATCCTGTGACCCTCGCAATGTTTCTGGACTGCAGCTCCCAGCAGCCCTAACCAGCCTAGCCAATGGTGAGCTGTCATCATCATAATGGTCCCACAGAGTTGCTATTCTGCAAATAATAGGTGAGTTCTTACAATGTGACACTGCTGTTGCCTCAGAGCTTTTAAAGATTGGGATGATCACTAGCAGAATCCCCATCTAGAGTAGCCAGTGACCATGATGTCTGGTGGATCTGGGGATTTAAAATCCAAAAAGTAACTTTTTCAATTTCTGCCTCATTGTGTGGGCTTGGTTGTGGACATTGCTTCCATTTTTTCACCATGAGATTATTTTTACTCCAGAACCAACTTTCTCAGGGGGGTTGCAGACTGCCAGAAATAGTGCAAATTGAGTCCACTTTTAGGGTTAGGGTTAGAGTTAGGGAATCATGGGAACTGTAATTTATTGTGGCACCAGAGCTCTCTGACAGAGAAGGCTCAATGTCTCAGAAAAAACAATTCCCATGATTCCCTGGCACTAACCCTAACCCTAAAAGTGGACTCAATTTGCACTATTTCTGGCAGTCTGCAACCCCCCTCAGCCACATTTCCCTTTGAATTCCTTGTCCCCCTGCATGTAAGAGATATTGTGAAAGTGGCACGTCAGTGAACAAGGGGATACATTGTGACATCTGTGAGCTCACTTTTGTATATTTTTAATTGTATTTTTTTAAAATTGTAAGCTACTTTGAGTCCCAATGGGGTGGGGGGGGTGGGATGATGATGATGATGATGATGATGATGATGATGATGATGATGATGATGATTGTTATTGTTACTGTTATTGTTATTCAACTGAGTCAAACCCATTTCTAAATCAAAACAAGATTTTATTATCTCAACAAGATAATAAAATATAGTTGATTGTAAGCACGAGCAGTACAACAGATATCAGAACAATAATATACAATAATGGCTAATTGAACACAGAGCATTGCTTGCTATCTAAGGAAATGGCACAATTCCCTGAAAATATTGACTTTTCCACATATAAGAGATCAAATGACAGATTCTGCTGCCTTCCAACCCACAAGACATGCTCACAAACAAAAAGCTTCCTGTTAAATCCCGGCCCTTCATCTTTTATTTTCTCAGGCAGCAGAAAAGACAATTCTACCATGAGAGTGTAAAAACGTCTGGTAATGACAACTGTTCCCTTGCCATTGAAGCCTCAGTGGATTGTGTTTTATTGTGCACAACAGATTTTCATTTTGGAAATTATTCTTTTGCACTCATGGCTTGGTTATGTTTGTCTGATTATTGAAGACAGGAAGATGGATTTTACAGTCTGCCTTGCGCATAGCTGTTAACCATGCATTTTCATTCATTTGCTAGATGATTTACTGCATACTAGCTAAATGCCCTACTTTAGAAATGATTCTAAATGAAATGTGAATGCCAGGCTTGAACATCTTGGGGACACAACAAACTGAACACCTTCCTCTAGTCTTATATGGTGGACTTCAAGTACTTCATGGTCCTTCTGCCCTGATTTCCCAGTTCCTGCCAGGAAAAGAAAAATATACCTTTTGTGTCCCTTTTAGGGAACATTGCATAGCTGGTGAGTAGAGTTGCCAGGTTTTCAAGCTAGGAATAAGGGACTGACAAAATTCATGCAGGGTTGACAATTGGGAAGTATCTATTTAAAAATTTGTGCTCTACCTCAGTTCCAAATGAAAATACTGATTTCAGTTAACTTAGCAATGTAAAAATTAGCATATTGTCCACATCCATAAATCTGCATGATGCACACATCTTTATAGAAGGGTGCACACCAGCAAAATATGTTTATTTATTCATTTATTTATTTATTATGTGTGTGCGTTTGTGTGTGTGTTTGGCATCTTGTTCGGTCTATATGAAACGAAAAGCTTTCCAACCATCAAATAGGAGACGTTCTTTATATCAAGAAGCACTTACCAGCCCTATAAGGGATAAGCTTTACAGTCCTCAAAACAGGGAAATCTTTTCTAGTAAGGAATACCTAGCAACCCTACTGGTGGATTACAAAAGCTGGCCAGGCCTGCTGTACACAGACTTTTCCATGTCATTCTTTTTGTAGCATATATGGCAGAAGCTAAGCTGTAAAAACATATTTACTAGCTGCCAAGAATTACTGTGGAAAATAAAGAGACAATACTTCTTTCATATGAAGAGCCAATTTGCTCTCACTGGGACCAAATAAGAAGGCTGATGGGGGGGAAAAGCAAGAAAAACTGTTTTGTCTTTCACCATCTTTTGCTCAGGAGGGAAAAAGATATATTTCCAGTCCTGTACACCATCAGCACTTTATTTGCTTATACTATGTATGTTTGTGGTACTCACTTGTATTACTAATTTAACACAATATAAATTGTTTTTAAAGGTTACATACTAAAGAACGCAACCAGAAAAAGACTGGAATTAAAGGGAGAGAGCCAGCATGGTGTAGTGGTTTGAACATTGGACTACGATTCGGTAGATCCAGGTTCGAATCCCTGCTCTGCCATGGAAATCCACTAATGACTTAATAACAGTAATAACAACATTTATTTATAATGCCCTTTCCACTAAGCCACACACTCTCAATCTCAAAGGAAGGCAAAGGCAAATCCTCTCTGAACAAATCTTGCCAAGAAAACTCCATGACAACCCCAAGAAAGTCAAGAACAATGGGGTCGTAAGCAGCTGTCAGTTGAAGTTAACTGATTAATCAGTCAATTATTTATTTATATCTAACCTTTTCCCAAACAATAGGACCCAAGGTGGTTTCCAGAATAAAAGTAATATAAATAAAACCACGTATAACTAAAAATGTACAAAGAGTCATGATTAAATTAATATTAAACTAATGATGAAAGCAAAATCATAGAAAACATTAATTCCAAAGCACAGATGAAAAACAGTACAGTACTATAACAGAAAATCCATTATGGCTGCATCTGTACTGCAGAAATAATCCAGTTGGACACCAGTTTAACTGCCATGACTCAGCGCTATGGATTTCTGGAAATTGTAGTTTGTTGTGGCTCCAGAGCTATCTGACAGCAAAGGCTAAATGTCTCACAAAACTACAGTTCCCAGAATTCCATAGCATTGACCCATAGCAATTAAAGTGGTGTCCAACTGGATTATTTCTGCAGTGTGGATGCAGACTATATGAAGCAATCTGTTCCCCAAGGCCTGATGGAATAGAAGGCCATCATCTGATTACAAAAGGAGAGCAAGGAGGGAACCATCCTAGCCAGAGCCATCACCAAAAATTTGTTCACCCACATTCCCATCTCCCTGGCAGGTTCCCTAAATCTTATCAGTATGTGTGATAAGTTTGTTTGGGCATTTAGGTACAATATGCCCTTTGCCATACAGGAGGCTTAGAAGGACTTGTTAACTGGTACCATGTGCCCCCTTCCCTTGCATGCCTTATGCAATTCTTCTGGGACTTGTTAAACCACATACCTTCCAAAGGTCCCAAAAATGGCAAGCATGTCCCTAGGAAACTACATGGTTCCTTGTATACTTCCTATCTTGTCAGAATCCCAGTTTCAGAACTCCAGTATGAGCTCTCCCTACCACCAGCTATTGGATATTTTCCAAAATGTGGGTGGGAAACAGTCTTGGGGAAAGGAAAGAAATCGGGGAGAAGGGGCGGGCTGTCTATTTCTTGTTTAAAAAGGGGGGTTAAAAGGAAAAGGAAAAGAAAGGAAAGGAAAGGTAGGGACACAGTAGCAGTAGGGAAGAAGCAGATCACAGTTTTCTTTCCAGTCTGTGTGTGTCTTAAGAAAATATGGGTTGGTTTGCTTATCTGTGCATGAATGTAACAAGGGAGAGTGTGTGCATTGGATATTTGTGTGGGAGGGGGAATGTATATTTCTGAAGGAACTAGCGTGTATGAGAGAGAGGGAGGGACAATATGATCTGATATCTTCCTTTTCCAGGACATGTCCTACATTTCAACCTTCTGTCCAAGAGGAATTCCAAAATGTCCTCCATTTTGAGCATGACTAAGAAACCCATTGAGTAACACCATGTTTGCTGTTCCCCTTTGAGAAATGTGTCTGCTCGTAGATTCAGGGCCTCGGCAGACGGCTAATAGAGCCATCTTCTGCGCAAGGAAGGGGAGGGGCAGCCGCACGCTCGGCGCCCCATCCCCCTCCCGAGGTCGTCCTCGGAGCCGCCAGCCCTCCGCACGACTGGCGCTCCGAGGAGGACCTCCCGCCGCAGCATCCGGACACGCTGCAGCAGAAGGGTCGCCGAAAGTGCGCCGCAACCTTTTGCGGCACACTTTCGGCGACATATGAAAGGAGCGCTATTTTAGCACTCCTTTCCAGGTGCGCCGATGGTGCGCCGATGGATCGAGGCATGGGGATGCCTCAGTCCCGCGGCGCACCTTCCCAGGGCGTCCCACGACCGCCCGTCTGCTTAGGGGGTCAGTGAAGAGTTTGTTGCTAGTAAAGTACAATTTTAAGCATTTGTCTTGCTCAGAGTTCTATGAGTATCTTGCAAGGCATTTTAGCAAAGATAAGTTCATAAAAAAATACAGTTGAGTACCTAAGAAAATACAGTATATGTAATATAGCTGTAAATAAACCACATGAAATTAATTCATATATTAGTGTTTTTAGCTTTTATTTTGTAATGTCCTTCATTTTTCTTGAATGTGCTACATTTTTGGTGCCTTGTCCTCCTTGCAGTTATGACATCTGGTCACACCAGAGAGGGGAAGAGCAATAGAGTTTCCTCTATAGAATAGTTCATTTATGTTAAAAATACAGTAACAAACATATCTGTGCAGAAATATGCCCCATTGAGTGCAGTTCCAATAAAAGCCTACAAGATTTTAACTCATGTAACACTCTGAAAGGCCACAGATCACATTCTTTATGATAATCATATGTTGACGTTTTCCCTGAACTATATATATTTGAATTAAATCGGTTCCATTTACTTCTTGGAGCCGAACTTATTATACATGTTTTTCCCCATTCCCTATTTTTATCTTAACAAGCCTATGAAGTTGGTTGGGCTGAGAAACAGTGACTACATGAGCTTTATGGGGTAGCTGGGAATATATATGGATCTGATAAGTGTTTGTGTATTGAGCAAACAGGGTGGTTGTAAACACAACACTCATGCAGTGATTGTGAGACTGAGAGAAAGTTGTCAGTCAGAGCAAGGTTTGATTGATTTTCCATCAATGCATAGTATATTTATAATCATGTGGCATACACACCCAAAATATATTCATTGATTTAGGATTGTTGCTATTGTTTCCTAAATTTAGTACATAAATCCAGACGTTTCCCTGTTTTACAGTTTTCTAAGTTCTTCCTCATTCATTAATAACTTTGACACTTGATCACATCCTTTCAACCTCATCCTCATGTCACTCAGCTAAACACGCTTTACAAATTCACATGTTTGTTCCTGTTTTCACCTATGACATGTTGGAAGATATAAGACTACATTTCCTAATGTGTTCAAACAAGAAAGTGGTTAAATTCTGACTGTAAACTGTGACTGTAACCAGGATTGTGAACCTGGATTTGATATCAGTTTCTAAGACAGGATTGCAGTCTGAGTCGAAGCCACTGTTTCAGTATTCAGGCACAATAGGAAACCAAATTAATACAAGTCATTGTGGAAAGGCTCCTACCTGTGTAGAGAGATTCACGAATTGGAATTAGTAAATGGCGTACAAGTCTGATGTATGATTTTGAAATTTGCTGAAAATAATAAGTGTTACACTCTCTTAGCCTCAGTGTTAAGAAATCTTGGTGGCACAGTGGTTAAATGCCAGTACTGCAGTCACTCACTCACTCACAGTCGCAAGGTTGTGAGTTCGATACCAGCCAGGGGCTCCAGGGTCAATTCAGCCTGGTATCCTTCCATAAGTTTCTAAAATGAGTAATTAGCTTACACATTGTAAACCACTTAGGGAGTGCTTAAGTGCACTGATGAAATGTACTTGCTATTGCTATAGAGCAGTGACGATTAACCTTTTAGAAACCATGTGCCTAAACTCAGTGGCATTCCTGCACTGAGTGTCACCAGGTGCCAGGCGCAGGACTTCTGCCTTCTGCCTTCCAGGGTTGGGACTTCCAAGAGAAACCCCAAGGCACACTCTCTCGGCCTCAGAACATGGCAATGGAAATCCCCCTCTGAAAGATTGCCCCATGATAGTTTCACCTTAGGGTCACCAGGAACCGCCACTCGGA